AATTTTAGATTATCTTTAAGGTCCATTTCTTCTTTCTTCTAATCATAAACTCTTTGGCAGCAATCTGGGCCCCCATCTACTGGTCAGCTTGAGAATTCATGAAATAATTTATCCTGTTGCTTTGGTTTCTGCTGTTGCTTGATATTGGTACCCATTCCCGTTAGCACAACATTGCAAAACTTACATGCTTCTTAATAGTACTTTTAATGCACGGTCCACAAAATAAAAGGTGCAATTTTATCTTTGCTATTTTTCTATATTAAGTGCTGTAAATATCTCTAAAATACAGAAAAAAAGAAAATTAACTTAAGACATTATTTTTGCTGTGACTTTTCTTGAAAATATGCATGTAATCCTGCAAGGTATTAAAGAAACCATGAAGCAATTTCATTTGAAGGAAAAATCTTTCTCAAATGACTATATATGTCCTTTGCTTTTTATTATTTCTTGCTTCTGAATTTTCTTTCAAAGGGGAAAAGCTCCTAATAGTCCAACTACAAGATCTCCAAGGTTCTTGTCGGGTCTAAAATTTTTCAGTTCTGCAAAAATAGATTGATGAAGATAATTCCCAAGAAATATTTCATTACAAAATCAATTCTGACTCAGATCCTAAAACTTAAGAATTGGAACTAAGGATATTTTAAAGCCAGATAAGAACATTTCTTTATTATTCATAAGCTGATCAACCAGATAAAGGAAGAAAAATTTTCCAAAGACTTTGACGATAACATTTTCTTAAAATATCCTTTCCTTTCTTTGTTTTCATTTTCCTTTCTTTTTCTCTTTTATTCTTCCTTATAATTGTATTCTTCAAGGTGTTCAAATGTCTTCCCCCTGAGATATTAAAATTCAAGCTTCTTATCATCTCCTTGACACTATTTTAACATACTCTTAAATGGATTTTATAATTCATCTGCAATGAGCCATATTGTTTCATTTTGAACAATTAGACCTGACATCCATAGTCAAGGAAAATTAATAGATATTTTATCTGAAATTACTTGAAATCTCTCTTTCTTTAATTTTTTTGTTTGTTTCTCTAATCTAGATAAGATTTATATTTCCAAAGAAAAGCAACCTACCTATGCGTAGAATATTAGCAATTATATCAATCTTGGGGAAACAGGAATGAAAATGTCACCAGGAGGCTTTCATTAAAGCCAAGTAAACGGCCGATTCTGGAAGAAGAGGTGTACCACTTTAAAATAAGCTTTTACTACATTCTAGGCTAAGTTTCCCTAGGGGAAAGATATTTAGCTTAACAAAGAAGAACTATATTATAAATCTATACAAATTCAATGAACAAGAAGGCAGTTGGTTACTCTTTCAGACTTACTTTAGTCAAAAAATGTCCCTATAATATACTCCTACTCCATGCCTGCTGAAATATCTTCTAACAACAATCCTTTAAGCATTCAAACAAAATCTAGTCTTTCCCCTATTCTGGAACACACACATCCCCTCTGAATTCCACATTCACATTTGGTTGCTATCTATCCTCTCACATTCAAAGACACATACTAGGAAAAGTTGCTGGTGTGACAAATGCTGTCCCCAACCTCCTGTCTCTCATTGGTGCCTCCGTTCATAGAAGTCTGACTTTTTTTTTTTTTTAGTATTTTATTAGTTGTTGTTGGACCTTTATTTTTATGTGGTGCTGAGAATTGAATCTAGTGCCTTCTCACACATGCTAGGCAAGCTCTCTACCACTAAGCTACAATTCCAGCCCAGCAGTCTGACTTTTAATCCCATTTCTTGGGTGAAAATGCTCTTCCTAAGAAGAGCATTGAACTGCAAGTTGTTAGAGGCTAATGGAAACTTTCAACTCTCCACCTGTATTGATTTCTCTGATAAAACTGCTGATATGAGATTCACCAAAGCTCTTGGGCCACTCCCTAGTTCTTGGCTCCTGTGATAATATTCTACTGATTTCCCACTCACTGATTGCTGCTTCACCCAATTTTAAATGTCCCCATGGTTCTAGGGACCAACACTGGGTCTTCTTTGTTTCTTACCCTATACTCTCTCCTTTAGCAGGCTTTTCTTCTTAATATAAATCTAGACACCTCCTTAATTTTTGTTTAGCTTCATTCTTCACTTCACATCCCAGGTACACATCCCAGTTACACCCCCTTATTCCACTGACCAAATTGCACATTTCATGACATCTTAAACTAATCAGCCAGCCAGCTGCTGTGATCAACCCTACTCATCTGCTTCTTTTTCATTGTTCCAAATTTCAGTTGCTCCTGGAGGACTCATGGGGTCTTCCTTGATACCTAAGTATTTCTGGCCCACATAGTCAAATAGTTGTCAAGTGCTGTCTCCAAGTGTCTCAGGTGTTCATTGTTCTCTAAACCTCTGCTACCCACTAATCAACTACAGCATAATCTCTTACCCAGAAAATTCATCCTCCTAAACTCTCTCCTCATATCCATTCTTATTCTCATCTAAGCCATACTTTTGTGGAAATCATATTTTTAAAATCTGGATTAAGTCACATCATCGATTTGAATGTTTTCAACTTCTGTCCCATGGGACTATGGTGATCAACCCAAACGTGAGGGCCCTCTATAACTGGGACAGGATTAGCTTGACCAGCCCTAACTTAGATCCCTTTGTCTTCACTGCCATACTCATATCAAACTGGATTTCTTTTTGTTCTTGCACTGTATCATACTCTTTGTCTTGGCAGGCCTATGTCTTTATCTTGCTGACTGTCTCCCTAGAGCTAGTGAACACCTTTTTACTCTTTAGACCACAGAAAAACACCACTTCATTCATTTCCCTCTAAGCCCAACACCCAGTTATGGGTACTTGATATTCATTCAAACATCAACTTGTATTCGTAATACTCAGCACAACCATAATTAAGTGTTTTTTTTTCCTCCCTATGTAGCTATTAGACCAAAAGGCATCTATTACCTAAAAGAAGGATTATTACAGTTGACAAATAGGAAAACTTGCATCAAATTAATATCATTAAAGTTTTAAAATCCAAGGCACTTCAAATGCTATTTTTGGTTAGGTCTACTCCACCTAATCCCAACACATTAAAAAAAGAAGAAATTCCAAGGACATAGGGAAAAGGGAAGTCAAAGGCTGGTAGATCCTGTTCTGAGACATGAGGAGGGTGAAAGAGAAGACTCCCATTTGAATCTCTTTAAGGGGGAATATGAAAGAAGGGGCCAACTTCATTACAAGGAGAGGCTGCAGAGAAGAAAAGGTTCATTGTGCTTCCTCACACCGGGAGTGGTGCAAGGGAGAACAGCTCCTGGTTGGGGATAATTGAGGCAGAGAGGTGAAATGCATCCTTTGGCCTGAAGAAAAATGTAAACATAGATGAAAAAGACCTAAAACCAAGATCACCTCCTATGGAAGAGAGGACATCTCAGCAGAGGTCAGATGAGCAGGTTAAAAACCAGCACCATACAATATTCCTTCCGCCAAAGCTTGAACACATCATAAGCACCTAGGAATTTGGGGCAGGTGCTTCACAGAGACAACTGAGACTTATTTTCCAATACTTGCTGGAATGAAGATATCAAATAGATAATCTGTCATTCAGGAAGTTAGTGTTCCAATCTCTGCAGAAGTTAGAAATGACAGCTGCTCAAACAGCACAAGATTTCTGCTGTCCTATCGTAGAGTTCCTGAGGTCAGCAACCCAAGGCTGGCATGACAATTTTCTTCTCATCAAGGAACCAGAGTGACTTCCATCTCCAGGTTTTCTTCATCATCTAAGATGTCTTCAAATATGCAATGGAGAAAAAGACAAGAAAAGGCCCATGCTATCTCTCTGTCCCTTCTGCAGATGGATCTACTGGGTGAAAAGAGAGGAGGGAAAGGGAGACTTGATAATAGCTTACAGATAACAATTTAGTTTTTAAAGGGAAACCAAAAGATAAAATTATGCATGTAGATTTGTGAGCTGAGATCTGTGTACCCCATTTTGTCTTCCTTAGTAGATTATAAACTTTAAGAAATCAGAGTCTATTTCTCTCTTCACAATTTTATCCAAACATCTAGCCAACTGTCCAATACTTCGTCCAACAAATGTTTGTTGAATGAATGAATAAAATAATGGGTGAAAAAGAAATAGACAAGTGAGTATATGTGGTCTTCCATCACTCAGCATGACTTGATATCTACTCTATGTTTTAATGAAATATGAGTCTTTAATGCTATTTACTGAGTATTATTGAAGTTATGTCTGGGCACATGGTAGGATGGCATAACCTTCATTTCTTGTGTCTGAGTGAAGCCACATGATTGTAGCCAATGAGAGTAAGCAAAAAGGATTTGTGTATCTTCTGGGCTAAGGGATATAACTGCTGATATAAGACCCACCAAAGCTCTATTCCTACTGTTAGAGTGACTGACAGCATAAGAGACTGGGTTGTCTCCATCAACCTGGTGTCCTGATAAAGGTGACCTGCAGGAAGTATGTGGCACAGACAAGATCATCTACCCTGCATTATGCTTTGAATCTAGAAATGTCACCCTCTGTCCCTCTGCCAAAGTTCATGTTTGATGATTCCCAATGCAAGAAGGTCAAGAGGTGAGGTTTTAGGCAGTGATTGGAACTGTAACCTCATCAATGGACTAACCCATTTGATGGATTAATAATTTGAATTGTCTTCTGGGTGTCAACTATAGGCAAATGGAATGTGGATGGGAGAAGTAGGTCATTGGGGATGTGCCTTAGGAATTATATCTTGTCTATGTCTCCCCACTCTGCTCCCTGGCTAACATAAGTTAAACAGCTTTCCTCTACCACACTCTTCCATCATGATGTTCTGCCTCACGTTGGCCCCAGAGCAATGGAGTTGGCCAACAACAGTCTAAGACCTCTGAAACCCTGAGCACAAAATAAACTTTTCCTCCTCTAAGTTGTTCTTGTTGGGTACTTTGGTCACAGTGACCAAAAAAAAAAAAAAAAATGACTAACACCTTATATTCACAGAATTACTTTCCCCACCATACAAATACAAATGTAGTCAAATGAGGAAACACTTTACTTGCAGGGAAATACAGTAAATTTTTGTTGTGGATCCACCACCAATTTGAATTCTGAAATGGTCAAGTCAACTTCTAAAAGTCAAGACAAAAACATTTAATTACAATAATTTTAAAAAATCAAGTGCAAGTAAAATTACAAATATATTTTCAAAAAAGTCTTTTTCCTAATGTTTTAAAGTATCCAGAAATAGAATTTTAAAAAAAATAGTCACACTTGAGTCCAGATAATAGCATTATAACAATTGTACAATTAAGAGGTCTTTTTCAGTCCCTTTTTGGACACCAAAGCTGATGATGTGTAATATATATTCACATATTATTACACAATATCAATATTAAAGAATACCACACAGAAACATGAGTATATTTAAGAGACACGAATTGCACTATGCTAACTTTAAAGTATAATAATCTGGCTAGTCAGTGTCATTTCTCATTTTTTGAATCTATAAATAAGTATGGATTCTGTAACTTGATTAAAATCTATGATTTTTTTTACCCTGAAATTTTGTGGACCATAAAATTTAAATATAATTTGCTTAATACTAACCAGTTTTATCTTTCACAAACAGTATAACCAAAGCCTGGATTTTAAAATCTCAGAAATTTATTGCAACATTTTGCTTCTTCCAAACAAAGCAGTTTTAGTTGCTTTTAACCATTTTCCCCTAACATACGATTTCATGGCTATTACACCATATGATTTGAATACGCTGCAGGGTAATACTCCTAACTGGACAGTTAAGGTATGTCTGAATTGGTCACCCTTTTCTGGAAGAGTTGATTATTTTCCATGAGAATGAAAGAGATTTTACATTGAAGTCTTTTGCTTCAGATGGCTAATGGATAAATCAATTACACAGGCAAGAGGAGTGAATGGAAATAATTGGGTATCTCTTTCCTTATAACTTAGTCTTATTGACCCCGTGTACATAGTATCATCTCAATCTAAATGAAGGTAAACTTGTTAGAGCCTCTGAAATTCAGGTTTGCATACTATTTTTTACTCTCTAGTTTTTTTCTGAATTTAGTCCATAATTGGAGAGATCTACCAACACTATTTCCTTAATATAAAAAAAGAGATAGAAATTTCAGTTTATGGGGCAATACATGGGAAAAGATGTCCCTATGAAAATTAAAATATTGCTGGGGTCCCAGAATTGAAAGATTTGTTGGTATTCTCCACTAAATTTCCCAGCTTGTTTTGTTTTGTTTTTCGATCCTGTAACACCAACTTTTTGCCTGATGTTGATGATTACAAACCAAAACTTCTCCTTAATGATAACAGGAAATAAATAAAAGAACCAAATATTTCTAGATGAGCCCACTGGTAATTCCCAACTCCAAGGTGTACAGACCTCATTTACTATTTCTTAAGAGCAGCCTTTCTCAGTGTAAGAACATGATGCAATTTGGAAAAGGTGCTCAAACCAGCACCACTCTAACTCACATTGCATGTCCTTGCAAAGGATCCCAGGAAGTTACCATAGATACACGACCAGCAGGATTGTTTGGCCCAGACAGCATGTGCTTAACAATTCCATGAAAAACACAATTGCGGAAATGGCATATGTTGGACACACCATGCAGGACCAGCTGGGCCCTGCTTCCTCCAGGAAATTCCAGCTGGGTTACAGGGCGGCTACTTTCCAAGACCATGATTCCCTTTAGGCCACCAGAGAGTCACAGGAGTTTGGGGTTCCTCATGGTTCACTGGATCCATGTGGTCACCATGCAGACACATGCTGTCAGTAGACATGGTGAGTGAGCCCAGCTTGGCATTTCCTTACAGGCCTTGCTCTTCAGTGCCCTCTAAGGTGACCCATTCCCCCAGCCCAGCTTGCAATTGCTGCTCACTTTGACTTTACCTTTGTTTTTGATGACAAAATATTCAGCTTCCCCCACTACTAGGAGTTTCACTCTGTGCCTCTCTTGACCTGAGGTAATTTAAACCTATTTCCTTCCTTGCCTTCTTAAAAGGAGGCTTAATGGAATTTTGAATTTTTCCTATTACAAAAATTCTTAACGTTTTTGTCAGGAGAGATTTGAAATATCACATAAAATGATGTACTCCCATCCCTCACCACCACCTCCAAATAACTGAATTACATAAATAAAACATTACGTGAAAAGTGCTTTTCTACAATTTATGGGAAGTAAATTTAACAAGAGCTGGCTCATTGTAGGAAAATTCAACTTATCTTTTCCTGATCCTTTTATTCTATACAGGGAGAGAAATTTATGTCAGTTAAAAAAATCTATTACTGCTTCTCATAACTGAATCCATTATTTTTCTCCATGATCCATCAGGGTAAAAACAAGAATAATAGATTGCTTTGACAGAACCTTGAACATAAATGTCCCAAAGAATCAAACATAGTAAGTTAAATGAGTTTCAGGTGGTATTAAAACAGGAAAGGATAACCTCCATTTTATATTTTAAAACCAAATCTTACTTAAAAATTTATTATTATCAGCTACTACAAAAAGACAGATTATATAGTAGTAGAATTTGCACAGTGAAATGGGAATATTTCCAATCATTCCTATATATGCCCAAGCAGAACTGAACCCAAAAAAATGAACTCAGGAAAAGAAATTATTTTAATTTTATAATTCTTTTAATCTTATAAATAACTGGTTATTTATGATCTACTTGATTTTATTAGTCTAGGTGACTTTAAATAAAGTTATCCTATACTCAGCCTACAGACTAAAAATATTGTTGACCTTATTTTACAAATAGTTTCACTTCTATGCATAGCTCTATAAACTTTAGTGCCATACGACTTATTTCAGTCTAAGGTCCTGGAACAATTCTAATGTATATGCACATACCTATCTGCCTAACACAAATATGTAGGGAGAATGTGGAGGAAGGTGATAGGTATATACATGCCTATGTTAATTCTAATAGTTAATCGCTCTCACAGGATTTTCTCAGTGGACAGCTATCCAGCCTCTAATCTCTAATTTTTTTCAGATAAACCAAAAACCAACTTGTCTCCAGGGAAGGTAACTACATTCCCAGTTTCAGTGGCAGACCTTCTCCAAAACCAATCAACAAAGAACATTCACATTAGGTGTATTATTGGTTCAGATCTGGGCATGTGACTCTGGTTGACTTGAGCAGAAAAATAAGAATGATTTTTATGCAAACTTGGGAGAGAAGTTTCCCATTTTTCTCTCGTTGGATGAGGCATAGAAAAAGGAATCCCAGTTGCCACTACAGACATCTGTGACCATGAGAATGAAAACAATGTTGATGGCAGAGGGGAGGGTCGGGAAGGTCATGGCATGGGTCTTGATTGACATCATTGGGCTGTTAATGATATTATACCCCAAACCCTCTCTACCTCTTGCTCCCAGTTAAAAGAGTTCACAAATTTACTGATTGCTTATTCCATATTGATTGAAGGTTTTTGCAACTTCTTTTAAAGAAAGATAAGAAAATATACTCAAAATATCCTGATTTACCATGGCACATTTCATTCATTTTTCTGTGCATCAGAAGATCTTTGAACTTATATTTGTCTTTAAAACCACCTTGAAGAAGTCCTTCTCCTTCTCAATTGGAGAATTTAACACAGCCATTGCTTAAGAAAACAGTAAAATTGCTACCAATGTCAATGTATATTGAAGGTAGTTAAAACCTTGTCCTGCCAGACAAAAAATATACAACTGCACGACTAAGTTCAGTTGTTATTACTAGACTCTATATCTGAAATAGACCTTGACCTCCTTTGTGGTAAATTAAAAACTGGCCTGAAGGTACTGCTCTTTTGTAATTATTCAGAAGGCCACAGCCATTCTACAGCTTTCCTTTTATTTTTCCTAAACTTCTTTAGTACCTGTTTCTCAGATTTTGCGGGCTATTAGGTGTTTCTCACATATATCTGTGCATAATAACTCATCAGCTTTGCAAACCAATTCTTTAACATTAAGATTAAAACTAACGTAGATGATTATCAGATGACACATACTGAAGTATAGAAAAATTCCATCATTTCCTTCCACAAAATGAGAAAGATTTTAATTCTTTTTCTCAACAGCTGCTTCATTTTTTTATGCATAGGAAAAAATATGTGCAATTACTTCAAGTACAATCAAGTCATTTAACACGGCTTTGCCATCATTGTAGTTAAAGGATATTTTAAAAGAGAAAAAAAAATCTCAAAGCACAGGTCCTGCTGTGCAGCAAAGCAATCAAATTCCTTCATAATAACAGCCTGATGGGATTCAGCAATCCGAGGAATAATGAATAACGGCTCTAATCAGTAAACAGGAAAATGCTACAACAGTCACTGAGTAAAAATTGACTATCATCTGTTGATTCTCTTGATCGGCTTTTCAAACAATAAATAGAAATATAAGTGTCTCTTACAAAGAAAAATAACTTCATTTAGTTTGTTTGATTTTATCAGGCAGTGAGAAAATGATACATCATCTTAGACTGTCCGGCAGTATTTCCTAGTCAATAAAATGCACATATAAATTTTTTTTTTATAATGCATGGCCAAATTTGCCCTATCACTTGAATATGTCAAGAAAACTGATTTTGCAGTTCATTGATAAAATTGAAGATTGTATTTCTTTATTAGTTATTCTTTGTTCTTAATTCTCAATTACTTCTTCTTCAGTATTCATCTTATGAAGTTATTTGTATCTGAATATGAAGACTCTGTTTCAAAATAGTCCTCAAGTTTCCAATGCAGTGTCTCAAATGTTGGTCGTTCCTTAGGCTCTGCATTCCAGCACTCCAACATGATGTTGTAGAATTGCTGTGGACAGTTAGATGGCTGTGGAAGTCTATAGTTTTGTCCCAACAACTGGATTACTTGAGTACCTGTCATACCTGAAAAATATAACCAACAAAAGAGGGGGGCATGGATTAGACTCTTCAATTCACAGACACTTAAACTCTAAGTTACAAAGCAAATTGATTTCTTTGATAAAGCTGTGAGATCTACCATACCCTTTACAGGTTGCAGAGATTAAACGACACCCTGCAGCAAGTAATGTCTATAAGACTGCAATTCAGGAGCAAAGGAGAAGGAAGCAATAAACCACCTCATTAATGCAAATTATCACCATCAAATTTTATCTATCTAGCTCCCACAGGCACATGGTATGGTCAGCCTCATAACTCTGCCCTCTAAGTCTGGGCAAAGCAGTTAAAGTCACACCTAAGTAAGTGACCTGCAGCAGAAAGGCCCACTTCAGAATTAATTACTTACCACTGTACGGCATTTTGCCATAAGTAATGATTTCATAAAGAAGGATTCCAAATGACCACACATCGGACTTAATGCTGAATTTATTAGTACGAATGGCTTCAGGTGCAGTCCACTTCACCGGCAGCTTTATTTCGTGTTTAGATTCATAGATGTCTTCATTATCTACCTGTTAATGCATTAAGGATTCAAGCCAATTTAAAGTGATTTTTTTTTTGCTGCCCTCATTCATTTATAACCAGTTTCACATAAAACTTAGATGGAAAATACCAAAAAAATTAGCTTAGATCAATTGATAATTAGCATAGCAAATTCTGACTCTGACATTCAAGACAGAAACAATCTGTGGGAAGTCATCCATAAAATATTTGAGAACCTACTATGTACTAAGAATAATATTGGAAGGAACATCCTACTATGTGTAGAAGAATTCATACATAATGGGATTCTGACTTCCCATCTGCTGTTTATCAAATGGAAAAATGGAAGCAAAATAGGTCTGCTTTTTTTTAAAATTTAATTCTGGTATTTAAAAGTCAATGACTTTGATAACTACAGTTTGCTAATATTAAAAAGTAGAATCCAAATGATTTAAATTAATATATCATCTCATTGGTCTCCTAATTAATTTACACAAAGAAAAGATGATGGTTTCATGAGTATCAACATGAGAATAATTTATTTGTTATGTTTTCTGGCCCAAATCCATATTTTTAGGATACAATATGGAAATTTAGAATTAAATTCAGAGATTAATACCTCATTCTATGTCTTTATCTTAGTGTTTTTTGAATGGATGTCACCCACTGAGTGGGGAGGAAGAATTAAAAAGCCAATAATTGGCCAGCATGGTGGTGCACACCTGTCATCCCAGTGGCTTGGGAGACTGAGGCAGGAGGATCATGAATTCAAAGCCAGCCTCAGCAACAATGAGGTGCTAAACAACTCAGTGAGACCCTGTCTCTAAATTAAATACAAAATAGGGCTGAGGATGTGGCTCAGTGGTTGAGTGCCCCTGAATTCAATCCCTGGTACCTCCCCCCTAAAAAAAAAAAAAAAAAAAGCTATTAATTGCTCTAGAATTCTAGCAATAGGTAAATGAGTAGATAAAGTGAACAAAGGTGGGTAGGGTAACTGTACAAAGTGCCCTGGTTTTTATACAAGACAAATAGAAGCTACTTTTACTGATTGAAAAATAGGTCATAAGTTCAACCAAAACAATGGCATCATTTTCAATTCAGTTGAGTATTTTTTTTCCTCCTTGATGAAGAAATGGGAAGAAACAGGTAGTTTGTCTATAAGATCTTCAGCTACTTGAAATGATCTATGGACCACAGAACTTTGAAGAACGCTGCTTTAAATAATAGTGAATTTATTGGTCTATCAGTCTGTTTGACTTTTAACCTATTACAAAAGCTAATTAAAACAAAACTAAACTTACCTTAAAAACTCTTGCCAGTCCAAAATCCGCTACTTTGTAGATATTATGCTCACCAACAAGGACATTTCTGGCAGCCAGATCTCTGTGGATGTAGTTCTGGGACTCCAGATAGGCCATTCCAGAAGCAACCTGTGCAGCCATGTCTACCTGTTGAGGCAGATGGATTCTTAATCCAGCATCATCTAAGGAATAAGAGAAAATAAGAGATTTATTCTGGAAAGTATTTGAACTATTGAAGTGAATTCTGACAATTTTGATGAATAAGATATTGATAGAATTATGTGCCATGGTACTGATCTGCTAAGAAAGGAGCAAGGGTATCAAATAATCCAAAGATAGGAGCAAGTTTCTAAATGAGTCCAGTTACTGCCATTTTTTCAATACCATATTTCACCAATTTATCTCTTCATGGAAACTGTTGCTTGGGTACTTTTGGATTACTTTTAAACTTTACATAGTTTATTTTAGTCATTGAGCTTATAGTGGTCCTAATTTGCATGGCTGAACAAATGAAAAGTTCACATTTTTTTTCATAAGAGTTTTCTTAAAAACTGGTTCACTAATAAAAATGAAGAGTCTAGCAGTAGTTATAAAATGTGCATATTGCAAGTGGTGAACAGAAGGATTGTCAAGTTCAAAGACAGCATCAGCAACTTAGGAAGACCCTAAGCAGCTTAGTGAGACCCTGTATCTAAATAAAATATTTTTTAAAAGGGCTGGGGATCTGGTTTAGTGGTTAAGTGCCCCTGAGTTCAACCTGCAATACTATACACACACACACACACACACACACACACACACACACATATATATATATAACATTTGTATCTCTAAGTTTAATATGTATTTTTTAAATTTCGCTTTCTTACTCTGTTGTTCCTAGAATAAGTTGCTCATCTCTCTAAGTACAAACATACCTTTAATGGGCAGCATTTCACCTACTGCTCATTCTGTAAAACTAAGTACAGGAAATTTAGGTAGTAGAGTCAGATTTATCATAAGTAAAAGAGGTCCATGGTATTTTATGATGTCTTTACAAAACAGAGTAAGTCAACTTATCTGCCATACTATTGATAGGTATCTTCAGATTTCGTTTTTTAAAGTTTCACATAAAAACAAATTATTATTATCCCTGTGTGACTAAGTAAAATACTATTACACAGAGTCCATTGGTCTTATGAACATGAGGTTTAAACACAAGTCCTGATTTGAGTGCTCACTAAAGCACAAGATTTAGGAAAACTGGCTTAAAGCTGTCAGACTTGAGATCATGGCTGGGCCTCATATTTCTCTATAACCGTAAGCAAACTGTTTAGCACCCCTGTACCTGAGTTTCCTAATCTGTATAATGGTAACAGTAACTCTTACAGTATTAATTTTTAAAATGAGAGTCAAAACAATTGAATACATGTACAGCACTTAAAACAGTACCTGGTATCTAGGAAAAACACAATAAATCCTAGCTCTTAATGTCATCATTGCTTCTAAGAAAAATGAAACATTTTTGGGACTTGTTAAGCTCAAGATATATATAAATTACCAATGTGAAAATGGCTGAAAGAAGATGAGTTTATGGGTCTAGAGTTCAGACAAGAACTTCAGCTAAAGACATAGACTTAATGGTCATAGTTTGAGTGAGAGTTAAAACATGAAAAGTGGGTGAGGTCCTAGGAAGATATTGATTCATAAGAAACACCAATAATTGAGGGTGGCACAGGAAGCTAACCTGAAAAAAAGAAAATTGAGAAGAATCAGCCAGAATCATAAGAAAGGAGAATGTTTTAACAAATCAAAAATTTTGAGAAAGAAAATATGTCATCATAGTCAAGTTTCACAGATAAGTTCAGTAAGATAAGGACTAAGAGGCTTGTGTTAAATATAAGAATGAGGGAGTCATTGGTGAAGGGTTTTATTTGAGATCATGTGTAAGAGGCCAAAGGGTAACTTGAAGATGAGGACATACAGACAGACAGAAAGAAGAGATGGAAAATTTCAAAACCCTAGTCAAAAAGGGAAGGCAATAAGGATCTGGTAGAGGTAAATGTAATGTCATAGGAAAGCCATTATAGAATTCAGAAAAGTGGGAAGTTGTGATGGTTAAAGTATTCCAGGGTCTCTGGGGTGCTTGCTGGCTGTGTTCTAATTCTTGATTTGGACAGTAGCTGCATAGTTGCTTACTTGTGCATGTTATAATTACATGTCAAACTATGCTACATGATTTATGTACTTTCTATATAAATGCTATCTTTTCCGTTAAAAAAATGAAAGAGTCAAAGGAATTTTTAAATGAGAAAGACTTAAGCACAGCAGGTGTGTGTGTGTGTGTGTGTGTGTGTGTGTGTGTGTATAAAAGGCAGAAGTATATTTAAATTGGTTGTGAGGTAAAACTAACTGCTCACCTATCCTTTTGTCCTTTACTTTCTTTTATCCTGGGCACTAGCAGAAGACCACATTGCCCACCTCCCTTTGCAATTAAGTAGGGCCATGCCTAGTTCTGGGCAACACAGTGTGTTCAGAAATGATGGACATCACATATAGGACCTCACATAGAGGAACAAATTTCAAAATTTTAGGAAAGAGTCTAATTCCCTAAAAGAGTAGTCTAAGCCCTATCAAAATTGTTATCTGTGTTTTGCCACTGAGAGTTTTGAATTGTGTATTACAACAGGTAACATTAATTATTCAGTCTGCAACAAAATGTAAACATAAAGATAAAATATAACTCTGTAAAAAGCATAATGGAAAAGCCTGGCTGCTGTGATGGTCAAAATAGATATGCCTTTTGATATCACATCCACTCAAAAAAGAAACAATGACATTAAGAGAAGCTGGTGACTGACCATAAGCTATGTGGCAGGCAGCTTCTAAAATAGCTTGCAGTGATCCTGCCTCCTGGAATTCACACCTTTCCAAGAGTCCTTTCCATTGGACTGTTCTGGACCCAGTGACTCACATCTGGCAGAGACTACAGCAAGAGTAATGGGGTCTCCCAGGTTAACTTATATAAGACTATGACTTCATCTTACTGGTGCTCTGAATTCCGTTGCTTTCTTGCTTGTTCACTTTAATGAAGCAAGTTGCCACGTTAGAAGCTACCCTCCATACCAAGGAGCATGGGCCACTCTCCAGCTAACAACCAGCAAGGAGCTGACTCCCTCAATTCTGCAGCCATGAGGAACCAACTCCTCCTGACAATCATAAAAGTGCGTTTGGAAGGGAATCCACATCCACTAAGCCTTCCGATGACTGGGACACCTGCCAAAACCTTGCTGCAGCCTTATGAAACCCAGGGCTAGAACCTGGCTAAGCTGCTCCTGGATTTCTGACCACAGAAACTGTGAGATAATAAATGTTTGCTGCTTTAAGCATCTAATTGTTGGGGTACTGTGTCGTGTCGTAATGGACAACTAACATAGGTTGATGTTAGGAATGGCATCAGTGTTATGCATTCAGTTAAGAGCAAGAACTATCAAACCAGGCTTCAACCTTGGAAAAGTCACCCAAGGTGTCTATTACTCAGTTTCTTCAATCGTAAAGTAGGGGTAATAATAATGATACTTAGTTCATAAAGTGGTTCAAAAGTGAAATAAGTTAACACTTGTAAAGAACTTAGAAAAATGACTGCCACATCCACTGGTTCTTCCCTCTCTTTAACTCCTACAGTCCCCCGACCTGGTTCTCCATTACCTCTTTGGCCTTATCTTCAGCTTTGCCCTTGTTATTGCAATGTCAAGACAGTGGCCTCTGTGATTCTTTCTACCCCACAGGCACACTTTTATGTTATCTCCAGCCCTTTGCACTTCAGATTTCTTTTGCCCATTTTTTGTTTGTTTGTTTGTTTTTATTTGTTTGTTTGTTTTAACTTACCCACATGGTCACTTCTCATTTCCTGGAAGTCTTTACTCAGGTTATTCCATCTTGGTAAATCATTCACTGGTCAACTGTCAATTTTTGTTTGTTTGTTTCTGGGGTGTGAACTCAGGGGTTCTCAACCACTGGAAAACATCCCGGCCCTATTTATTTCCTTCCTTCCTTCCTTCCTTCCTTCCTTCCTTCCTTCCTTCCTTCCTTCCCCATAGGCCTCTCTCATTTGAGAGAAATTTATTACCAAAAAAAATCAGCCAAGCTTGAGGTCTACAAAGACTGGAATATAGAGAAATATGATTAGGAATATGTATGTTATTTCAAATATCAAATACAATACCTAATCCTATTACAGTGCATATAAAAAGGTTTTTACTGGAAAGTACAGTACTGGAAGAAATTGGGTAATACACATTTCCTATTCTGAAGAGCAGTGTCCTAGGGACTGCCTAAGTAAAGAGCAGAGCACATCTATACAACCAGACAGCAAAGCTGATGGAAATGTTCACAAACCTGTGACAGTTTATATCTGCAAAAAAAAAAAAAAAAAATGCATCCTATTACTAAAGAGACTTTTACGTTAATGATACTTATCTTGATGAGCTACTTATGAATGGCAGATTAACTTTAAGATCTATCTATTAAATCTACAACTCTTGACTGGGACCAAGTATAAATTCACTGTTCCTCTTGACTGGTAGGTACTCTTGCAAATGAATGCCTTGGTAATCTTGCCCCTGATGGCCTAATCCAGCAGATGGTAGGATTTGCACTCAGCCTTGAGTACCACATCAACCACAGAAATCCTCAATGCACAAGGAGTTTGCAGTATAGTTAACTGGATCTTTTCAAGCTGATACCAAGAATTGCAAAACTAGCTTGACTCTCAATCCCACTCTTACTATATTCAGAATGGTCTCAACTTATTTATTCAGTCAACACATAATCAGTGCACACCTTCTATGTGACACTCTGTTCTAGCACTACAACAACAGCAAAATAAAAATTCTGCCCTTATGGAATTGCATTTAGAAATACTAAAGCCAGGTGAAATGGTACACACCTATAATACCAACAATTTGGGAAGATGAGACAGGAGGATCATCACCTTAGCCCTAAGTGAGGCCCTAAGCACCTTAGCAAGACTCTGTCTCAAAATAAAAAATAAAAAGAGCTGGGGATGTGGCTCAGTGGTAAAAGTGCCTCTGTGTTCTAATCTCCAATACAAAAAAAAAAATCTAAAATACTAAAAATAAGCTAAATAATGTCATGCAACATAAGATGATTAATAGCTAAGGAGAGAACACCAAAGAAGAATATGAAGAGGAAAACGAAGAAGGAATATGAAGAATCAGTAGGAGATTAAACTTTACAGTTTGACAAGTGAGCCAGGTACAGTGGTGTATCCTATAACCCCAGCAACTCGGGAAGCAGACATAGAAGAAGCACAAGTTCAAAGCCCGCCTCAGCAACTTAGCAAGACACTGTCTCAAAACATAAAATAATAAAAAGGGCTGGGGAAGTAGCTCAGTGGTAGAGCATTCCTGAGTTGACCAGTGAACAACTTACCAAGGTAGAATAACCTGAGTAAAGACTTTCAGGAAATGAGAAGTGACCATGTGGATAAATATTAAAAAAAAAAAAAAATCAAGCAAAAAAAACTCAAGTGCAAAGGGCTTGAGGTAAAATAAAAGTGTGCCTATGGAATAGAAAGAACCACAAAGGTCACTGTAGTGACACTTCAAGTACACGGGCAAAGTTATAGATAAGGCCAAAGAGAAAGTTGTAGATAAGACCTGGAAAACCAGATCAGAAGGAGTTAAACAGAGGTAAGAACCAGTGGGAGTCTCAGAAGGTTTTAAGCTGAGGAAGAACAAACTCTGACTTATGCTTCAACAAGATATCTCCAGCTGCTGTGTTAGGGAAAGACTAAAGAGGACAGGAAGCCAAAGAGGGAGACCAAGAGGGTGCAGAATCCAAAGTGGAGGCAATGATTGCTTGAACCTGAATGGGAACATTGAGAAAAGGGGAAAGACTGGGTATGTTTTCAAGGCCAGCCAATAGGATTTGTAGGTTTGTTAGGTAATGGGATGTAAGAAGCCAAAATGCCTCCCAGGTATTAGACCTGAGTGTTGTCATTGTCCAAGAAGGAATGAAACAAGGGTAGCAGATCACCGTGGAGAATCAGGTTTGGACATATCATTTTGAAACGTCTAATTGTCATTTGGAGTAGAAATTAGGGTTGCTCACAAACATTTTCCCCCTTTTTGCAAGGCACTTTAGTGGATTGCACTGCCTATTCCATTGGACTTGATTTGACCAAATGAAAAGGGTACAGAAGTGACAAAAGTTAAGAAGCTTTAAGAGCCAGGATGAGATTAGTCCCATCCCCTTTCCCTACCAAGGTGACCAAAGAGCTGAGCTACCAATCTATTTTACACACAAAGCACAAGTAAGGAAAAAACTATTGCTGTGCTGAGCCTCTGAGATTTGAGGACCGTGGCTGCAGTCTGGACACCTGCACTGTCCAGACTGATACAACATTCCAGTGGAGAGGGCATGAAGGCAGCTGGGTGTATTATTCTGAAGTTCCAAGGTAGGGATAAAATTTTAGGAACTGTTGATACATAAACATTCAAACAATGGCACTGGGTGAAGTTAACAAAGGAAGCCAAGTGCAATGGTGCACACCTGTAATCCCAGCTACTTAGGAGTCTGAGGCGAGAGGAATGGCAGGTTCAAGCCCAGCCTGTTCAAAGCATTGGCACCCTATCTCAAAATTTAAAAATAAATTAAAAATTGAAGAGATTAACAAAGGGATTAATGGTATTGCAAAATAATCCTGGAGAACTCCAGAATGTTGAGAGGTCTGGGAGAAAATCACTTATTGAGAAGAACCAATGAAGAGGAGGATAAGTGATCAGGTTAACTATCTTGGAAGCCAAATGGAGCAAGAGACTTGAATGGTCCTGATAGATTTGAATACCAGAAATTGACAATTAGATTAGTAATGTGCATGCTGTAAGGGCTCTTATAATATGCACATTGTAATATGCACTTTGTTAGATCTAGCCCAGGATCATACTGTACTTTTTCCTGAATAAGGCAAAAGGAGTCAACAATTGAGGTCAGTCTTTCTGTGGTGGGTAGCATTCTAAGGGTGATAAATGTGATGATCTTTATGCAATAGGTAAGTATATTTTTGTTTTTAACAGAATTTATTATGTTACATATATTCTCCATTCTTTTGTTGTTGTTTTGAAATTTAGAATTATCAGCTTCACAAGTCACCCTGAAATCAGAGAACACTCTTATCTTTCTGATATCTTTGTTCCATTATCCTCACCTCCTTTTGCCTCTATATAGCCTATCAATCTCGCTCTGACATTTCAAGAAATTACAGGAAAAGTCTGTTTTTCAAGCATGAATGATTCTCTCAGTATTTGATCTCAATTTCTTTGAATATCATATTTTAATGTGTATTATTTTATTGTTTATTAAATTATTCATTTGTAATAAACATCACAATTTCACAATGCCCTTAAGTCCTTTTTGACTGCAGAAAGCGGATGGAGGAATAAAGCTAATAGTATATTTTTGCTTTTTAGTCTGAAAATTCTAATGTTGCCTAGCAAAGAGGTCATTTTAAACACCAAGTACAATATTAGCAAATACTAGCAAAGACAAAAATGTCAGATACCTCTCTTGCTCTTTTCCCTGATGTTTCCCATGTTCCAGATTCTGTACCATAGAAAATATGGTTTACAGTGTTCAATTAGTGTAAAAAGTAGAGCATTATGCAAAAAATCCATTGATCAGTTTCCCACATTACATTTAAGCTCTCTGATGTGTCTATTGTGAACAATTTATTCTTCCACTATATAAATATTTTTCTCCCTTTGAGTCCGCAGAATATATCCTATTAAATAGTAGTTGAGCCATTCAATGTTACAACATTCATTCTTACAGATATACACATAGTAAATATCCTTTGGGTTAGACAAAGCTGGCTAAATTGACATTTATAGGACTAGCTAAACTAGATTCCTCCTTTTGTTTTTTCCTTTTATTGAGTCTTTAGCTTACTTTGGAGATATTCTTGCAGACTTCCATGTCTCATCAACTCTGTAATAATATAAATTGGATCTTCTAAAGTGCAAACAGCATAAAGCTGGATAAGCTTTGGATGTCTTAGACTCTTCATTATCTGTGCCTCCCTCAGGAAGTCATTTGGATCCATTGAACCTGAAACAAGAAAAGGAGGAAATCACTTTATGTTATTGAGGCATTCCTGTCCTCACAGCAGCCTGGTGGGAATCGCCGAGATTGCCTCCTGCCTCTCAGTAACAGAAGAGCATCAGTGTCACAAATCTTCAGAGTTATCAGAGGAGAGAATCAGTTCAGCCAGGGCAACCTAATTACTAGATGTGGTGTTGTATCAGGGATGTGCACTTTATATGTTATGACCCGTAGGTGAAAAACGGTTGATTTGGGCCCATGTGAAAAATGAAGAGCAAAGGAGAGACTGACAGTTTAATTGATAAAACACGGCAGGCATCTGAAGAACACAAAGAGAAGACATCCTATCAACATGAACACTGGAGGACACTGAATGTCTAATTACTCCAGTCAGAGCTCTTTTTGGGGGAATCAAGAAAAGACGGATGGTTGCCCTGGCCTTGGTACCCACTGTGGGAACAGCTGAAAAACAACTCTAAAACAATGCTATTCTGCCAAATTTATATTCTTATTCCTGTAGGAACACAGGCTATGGGCCACATAGAAAACATTCAAGGGACATCCCCAAAAGATAGTGGCTTTTTTTTCCACCAATTTTACATGTTTAATGTGAAAATAATACTCAACATTTTCTCCCATACTATTTGCTTCCACTACCACCAGAGCCTCAAAAGCTGGATCAAATGATTAGGGAGATGGCATTGAAGCATATTTTGAAGACTAATCTATAATTAAATTGTGTTTAGATGGTTCAACTCTGAGTCACCACGCAAGGTGCCCAGCAGTTAATGTCAGATAAAATCTAAGAGGAGGAAGGATATCTGGAGTTGACATTTCATCAGTAATTTTTAAATCTTTTTTTTCTTCTAGGCTGTGATGTTTCAGAAACATTACTGTAATTGAAGAAATACTGTCATTTCACATCTTAGTATTCACTGTAGATAGTGCAAATATCATTTCTACTGATGTCCAAAGAGACCATTCAATTTATCATCCTCTGAATGTCAGAGACTCTACAACTGACATTAGAACCTGGGTGTGGATAAGCTTTGACAATTCAAGGTAGCACTATGACTTGTTTGTTAATGTCAAGTTAAGAAGAGTTTCATATGACCTACATACAGGTTATTTCACATAAGCATTGAAACAGTCTACCTTTTAAGAGCCCAGAAGCTTAGGATCCAGATCCAATCAAAACTCTGGAACCTGGAAAAATCTTAGCTCTGTTACTGTTCCCTGTTCAATCTTAAGCAGGTTACCAAATCTCTCTGAACTTCAGTTTCTTCATCCACAAAGTACAGCTAGTAATCCTACTAACATCAGAAAATCATTATCAGGATAATAACAATGCCTGGAAAATGTGTACTCAAAGATTGCTGACCATTATATGTATCATTCTTAACATGCACACTCATAGGAAAACCAAACAGACCAACTGTAAATATTTTTCATTGACTGAGGAGAAAAGAGGTAAGGTGTTAGAGAAGAAAAAAATGTTTTCTTCTATTTTCTTTTCCATTCCATTTTTTTCCTTTCTTTTTAGTTTTATCAATTCTAGTTCTGACATTAAGTTTAATCCACATAATCAAATAAGTTTAAAATTTGGAATCATAATAAAAAAATAACACTGGAAGGAAAAGAGACCTCTACACCAAAATAAAGTACTTTGTTCTTGGTTGGTATAACTAGTTTGTCTGGGATCAAATACGGATACCATATGACTGCCCCCCTCAAAATAAAATGATTCATGAAGGGTTCTGTGATAACAGAATTAGTATCATCACTCAGACTGTTTATGCAGGACACTTAAACCATGCCCAAGTCACACTATCTGCAAGAGCTGAAATCATGATATGCCAGGAGCCTCTGTAGGTAGAGAACTCAGGGAACTCCTTCATGGCTATGCTGGTAGAGCAACAGAGACCCAATCTCAACTCAGTAACGCAACATTAAATATTAATTTTTGCCTGTCATAGCTACTGCAGGAGTTGATTTCAGGCTCATCTTTATTGCATGGTAGTCTGCTAAGCAATAAATAGCTGCTAAGATTGATGAATGGCCCCCGTGAAGTGAAGACATTTAACCAATCACCAAAGCTGTTTGTTGCTATTACACTGTAAATCAATAATAATTATTCCTGTTAGAAAGAAAACTATTGTGCTTTTTTTTACTATAAAAATATGATTTTTTGTTCTCTTTTGACCTCCAGAAGGCCTTCCTTAGAAAGCAATGCTAGCAAGCATAGCTTGACGCTTTTCTTTCTTTTCCTTTTTTGGGGGTGGAGGGAGGGAGGAATGATTAGATTAACAATAAATTTAAAATTTATGTCTCAATAGTTCAACAAGTTTAGGATTTAAAAGCACATATACATGATGACTGAAAATCTTAAATGCTGAAATAGATTGTCCTCACCTGAGTGATGGCATCTGGCCCCTTAAAAGTGCCTCTCTGTTGTTTCCTCTGCCAGATGTTAATGCTAGAACTAAACTCCTGCACCAGTGAATCTACAATTCAGGGTGTGCATCTATCAGCAGCACCACAGAACCTAACATTTATTAAAAACTCACTGCATATACTTTATTCACATTTACTCAATCCTCATACAATCCTATAAAGTGGGGGCTATTTTAATTCACATGTCCAGATGAGGAGACTCAGAAAGGTTAAAAAATTATACAAGTTACAGAGGACAGAGCCAGGTTTACCTTTATGCTCTTAACTGATAACATCACAAGGTCCCAACCTTTTCAGTCAATGGCATCCTTAGTGCATCAGTAATATTTTTATAGTATGCCAGGTTAAAATGCATATTTAATAGTTCAATTACTAAACAACTAAGAAGTATCCATCCTAATAACTTAATAGCCATTTGAAAAATTAATACAGGTAAATTAAGAGGAAAAAAATAATATTTATTTCATTCTTAACCACAGTTATTTACTAAAGTGATATAAGTACTATACAACTTCTCAAAATCAAGTAAGAGTTCAAACAGAAGTTCTGGATCCTGGAAAAATCTCAGCTCTGTTACTCTTCCCTGTGCAATCTTGAGCAAGTTACCCAAATCTCTCTGACCTTCAGGTTCAGCTCTACCACCTTTATTTCCTGATCTGTGTCAATTTTTGTGTGTATCTTGCCAATATTGGTCCACAGTGATCATCAAAACTCCAGCTTCACAAAAATATGATGTCAGAAAAAGGAATGTAACGATCTAAATCTGAATCTACAAACTACCTAAAGGTAGCAATTTGTGTTGTTTTGAAAACGTTTACCTCAAAACTTTTAAATATCCCACAGACCCCTGAGAATTCACTGTGATGCCTCAATGTGCCTTAGCACAACAGTTTGGAAACAGTGCTATTACACACTCTGCCAGCCAACAAATCCTAAGGGCTCAAGTTCTGCCACCAGGAAGCTTTCCAAATTTCTAAGAACTCTGGACTCAGCAAGTAACAGAGGGCCCCCAGAAAACTCATCTAGCCTGTAGAGTTGGAACCCATATCTGTTTTGTAGAATAATGAAAATGCTTGTAAGGAAAAAAAAAGGAAGATTAACCTTTTGTTGCTGTTATTATTCTTTTCTATGTTATTAGAGGAAGATAGGAGACTGCCACAGTGATGTTGCACTTTTACAGAATGTCACTTCCATGGGGTCTGATATAATGGTGATAAGTCAAAAATCCCAGCTCTGCCATTTACTGTTTAATAATAATAATAATAATAATAATAATAATAATAATAATAATAATAAAATTTTTATTGGTTACCTACTATGAGCCAAGCATTATGCAAAGTGTTTGTACTAGTGACCTAATTTAATCTTCATAATAACCCTGCTAGGTATATCTTATTATCCCCCATCACATAAATGATAAAACTGAGAGATAGAGTAGTTCAAAAATTTGCTCAAGATTTGAATACAAAGTCTTAGGAAAGTTATTTTTAATCTCTCTAAATTCTCTTATCCCACCCTTAAAAATGAGGGACTGTTCATTTTAGCATACTTCTTCTGCCTTCAAAAGGATAAGTGAAGATAGGAGAAGAAATACTTCCTGCAAGTTCAAATATGGGATTCTTTAGATGAACCATTTTATCTTTTAGTCATAGTCATTTGGCATCTAATAAAACAGTTATTCCCCGAATATCACCAAAGTTCCATCTGATTTTTCAGTAAGTTTTTACAGTCAGTGGGGTTTTTGTTTTGTTTTGTTTTTGTTTGTTGTTTTGTTTTGTTTGTTTTTGTTTTTTAACTAAGATAGAAATGAAAGGGAAGAAGGACAATAGAAGACTGAATCCTTTAGATAAGAAATGTGTTGTTGGAATCTTCATCTGAGAACCTTTTATGCTTAGCTAATCCAAGGAGCATGTTGGCCTTTATATTTTAAAGCTTGTCCACATGTTATGGTCACCTGGGGTGGCAAGACAGATGACAACACCTGTTTGCTGCCAGCACTGACTGTCCCATGACCTCTTAGGCATTTCACAGTGGCAAATTGAGCCCATAAAAATCCACATATGCCATTTAATCTTTAATATTTTCACACCTGGTTTTAATGTCTTTACAGCCACTGGAGTAGTGTTGTTCCAGAGGCCTTCCCAAACTTCTCCAAACTGACCGGATCCCAATCGCTTCAGAAGCTGGACAGAGTTGCGGTCTATCTCCCACTGGTCCACGGTTTTATAGGACAAATCAAAAGGAGTTGGGATTTGTATCTGTTTTGCAGAATAATGAGAATATGTGTAAGAGAAAAAGGAAGATTAACATTCTGTTGTTCAAAATAATAGTGTAGGTACTTGTTGAGGGAAATATTACTTTTAAAAACAAAAACACTAGAAGTTACATTCTAATTCCTTGAAGATAGAAAACAATTGTAGGAGATTCTGCATTGTTAACTCTTTAGATTCATTCTCTCTCAGATCCTGCACTTTGATGTCCATCTGTAGCCAATACCATGCTCACACACAGGTCTGCAATGATGTTTCCGCCTCTCTGCTCAGCTAAACCCTCCCAATTTCAGCCTCCATTGGAGTTCCACTCATTCACAAGGCCTTCTCAAACTCTGGCTGTAGTATTAACTAGATATATTATACATTTCTGCAAAATATGTATTATATATTATATATTTTTGCAAAATAAAATCAATTCATTTTTGTTTAATTTGTTTGTTTGTTCATTCATTTAATAAATAAAATTTTTAAAGTAGGAACTATCTGCCCTTCAGCAAACAAAACAGGCAAGGCCCCTGCCATCTTAGAGTTCGTAATAAAGATTTCCATCTGACACACTTTCTCTGTTGCAACTATTAAACTCACTGTAATGGCACAAAATCAGCCAACAATAGTAAATGAATGAGCATATCTCTTCCAATAAAACTCGTTTACAAAAATGAATATGAAACAGATAGTTTTCCTCTTCCTGCCTTAAGTAAACAAATGATAAATTTCTTTTTCCTGAACTGATATCACATGGCAAATACTTAAAAACAGTTTGAAAGCAGAAAGTAGTTCACCTTTAAGCATGGTTTCTCCAGCTTGACACACAGGCCATCACTTGTGGTGGTGTAGTAGTTCACGAATTCATTCAGTGTTGAGAAAGTTTTTCTCCGGGTAAGGAAAAAGCCCCCTTGGTCTAGTCTCCTGATTCTGTAGTGTTTCACAACTCCTTCATCTAAAACTGGAACCCAAAATAAGTCCTGTTAATAAACTTATTGCCAAAGCCAAGTAGATTCATTTTGCGGAGATTTTTCAATGTATGGCATAAAATTTATATAGAATTCAATGTTTCTCAACTTTGTCTCAGAAGAGTTAAGGAATTTGATCAAGGATACACAGAAAGAAAGATTAACATTCTGTTGTTCAAAATAATAGTATAGGTACTTGTTAAAGGAAATATCAAGAAAGAAAGAAAAAAGAGAGGGAGGGAGGGAGGGAGGGAGGGAGGGAGGGAAGGAAGGAAGGAAGGAAGGAAGGAAGGAAGGAAGGAGAAAAGGAAAAATAATTTCAAGATTCTAGCACTAAAGGAAGTACAAGATAAAAAATAAAGAAGTGAGGTTAATACTAAAACCATTCCATGCTTTGAGGACTACACTTGATTTAAAAAGCCATAAAATTAACTCTCATTCCAGAAATTCAAGGTAAAAAAATCTTGTCAGTTTCAGAAATCACAGTGTCCCTGTGATAAAATCACAAAGGTGTTTAGAAACAGTTGAACTCTTTCTGGTAATTTTTCCATGGAGTTTGATAACATGAGACTGAAATAGAACAAAGAGGGTCCTCAGTACTAACTTACAATGTTATAAGGGATTCTGCAGGGCCATTCACTGTACTATCCCTCAATGTAGGCTTATACCAGAATGTCCCAGCACAGCTCAATAAAAACAATTCCATAGGTCCTAAAATGATGCAGTTCACATGTGCAAATTTCCTGCAGCTTTGACTAATCCAAAGATAAATCTCATAGGATCTGAAAGAATAAACAACCTGCATCATTTTTAGGTAGTCTGACTTACAGCAAATATTTTATTATTTCTCCTTGCTACCAACCATTGTTCTTTCTTCTGTTATTGGCACTCCAATCTTTCTCATAAAACCATTGCTTCTCTAAGAACATATGATGCAGAGAGACTTGGTGCCCACCTTGAGTTGAGGGAGACCTAATCAGACCAATTAAATCCAAGGAGCACCAATTCCAGGGTTCACATCAGGGAGCTCCAGGAGGACAAGAGGAGTTTTATTGCTGCTGTTGTTTTTGTTTTTACTGATGGGAATTTGGAGCTATTGGCAGAATCCTTGCCTCCAGCATGGAGCAAGCTTACATGAGAAGAGAGGTAGCCCCTGGAGCCAGCCAATTCTGGCTTTACAGCTGCAAGAGTCAATTACTTTTTGCTTAAATTAGTTTGAATTAGGTTTTCTACATTTGCATTCAAAATATTGACTGGTGCAATTCATACCTATTCTTTCACTTAGCAAAGTTATTGATGAGCATTGAACAGCATTTACCTTGAATATAGCTTTCTGAGTTCCTTCTAAATATAGAAACTTATGCTCCAATAACCAGGTTTAACTGGAGCAAAACTTTCATGAAAGGAAAGAAGACATTCTCATCCCAACAAAAGGAGATGTACTGAAGCCATGCCCATGGCTAGGAAAAGAATTTCTTCAAAAAAACAATTGGTGCGCACCTGGTTAGGTATAATGAAAGAAGGCAACATCTAAAAGTGTTGGCAAAGCAGTGGAATGACTTCTTATACATAGTTGAGCAAAGCATAATTTTATCACCTTTTTTTTTTTTTGGTATGGAGATTGAACCCAGGGGCACTTAACACTGAGCCACACCCCCCAGCGCTTTTCTATTTTTTAAGTTATTATGTACTAAGGTTGAACATAGTCCTGTCTATAATAACTCTACCACCATGTATGAAATCAGCAAAAATGCACAATATATTTGCCAAAGCACACATATAAGAATGCTTTTGGTGGCACAAAAACAATCCAAATGCCCATAAACTAAGAATAAATTAATATATTATTGCTTATTTGTCAAGTGGAATACAATAAAGATTTTCAAATAAACAAGCGACTACACTTAACATGAATGAATCTCACAAACAATTTTACATATGATTCCATTATTAAAAAGTTTAAAATGACCCAAAATCATTGATACGAGGAGTCAGTGAGTGAGGTATCAGCAGTATCCCACACAGTAACTAAGCATTGGTTACCTGGATATATTATGTAAATATTTGTTAAATGCTTATGAACTGTGTACTTTTGTTATGTGACTATACATCAATTTAAAAGAACACTACAAGAGAATAGTTATCTGCCTCTGTTCATGTTCACTTTCCCAAAATGCTACATCATGGTGCATGCTGCTGAAATATTTAAGTCTGCAAAGTTAAAGTAAATGCCACCTAATTCTCATGTTGGGTATAGGAAATCTCAATCAAGTATTCACAGAACATTAACTTTAACCAAATAAATTTTCTGGTAAACACTGTGAGAAACCTAGCTGCAAAATGCTCCTTTAAATCACTGAATGAGTTGACTTGTGGTATATTTGTTACTAGCCAGAAAAATGCAGGGGGAATAGCAAACAAAATAGCAACTACACGAATTCAATACTAAATTTGAAGGTAGCCTATAACAGTATCAACAACAATAAAGTAACCAATACAGCAGACTAACACAACTATAATTTAATAGCATACCTTTCATTTCCTTCCAAACACTCTTTAGTTTGTATTCCATGGCAATTACACGGCCGTATCCCTAGATAAAAGCTCCAGAAAAGATTTGCTTCTCACTTATAGGTATCAGACAGTCCTACTTAAAATCAGAAACACACTCACAATTCACTCTACTCCTTGATTAAAATGCCCAATGTTCTCCCCTTTACAGCCCAGGCCTGCTTCCAGCTGAAGGGCAGTCACGTAAAAAGTGGTCTAGGTGGCTTCCTCTCTATTTCTCTCTCTAGAGTTGCTCCCTCTCCTTGGCATTGCTTGCTGAGTTCTGAGTATTCAGGGAAGAAGCAGAATAAGGAAGGGCAAGAACAGGAAGCCCACACTTAGATGGGTCCAACATCAGTGGGCTTCACAGGCTGAGCATGCTGACAATGTTTCCAGCTGACTTCCCTGTGGACACTCAGATAGGCCCTCTAGAGCTTTCTCATCCCTGCAGGACCTCCCATTACAGCTCCCAAGAGGCAGGTTTTCCTAGGCTGCCTGCACCCTATGGCTTCTCAGCTCTCTTTGGCAGTTCATCTACCACACTTCACCCCAGGAGGTCTCTCCTCACCCTCTGACAGAAGTTCCACTTGGGTGGAACTCTGAACTCCTCCAGGCCATCTATTTACAGTTCCCTGGCATTTTTGCTCATGTAGGAGGCCCAGTTATGGTCCTGAGAAAATATAGGAGATGAGGCAGTTCTTATCTTGCCAATTGATTACTGGGAGGAAAGGCTGATATCACAAGGCACTTCTATCCCAATGCCATAGGCTATGCATACTTCTCAGCCTACATTAGGCACCTGTGTTCTATCCTCCAACAGCAGAGAACAGAGAGCAAGCTCCTTGTGGCCTTTCCTGAAGGTCTTTCTCACTAGGTTTGGGGCTCCCACTCATCACTTGAAAGAGAGTCTGGGCTCAGATTGTGCCCACAGTATAATGCTCTCATCAAATCCATGCCTTCCACATGTGAGGGACTCATGAGCAGCAGTACCTATCTTTGACCAAATCCTTTATAAATCTGGGTCTGGGGATCTGGCTTTGGAATTTGACTTTTATTTGATAGCCTCAGTCAAAAATTGCATTTAAACATTCCACATTTATTGAGCCAAGCACTCTGCTAAGCATTATCTTGCATTATTTTGTCATAGCTTCATAACAGTCACACTGGGTAGATGTTACCAGACCAATTTTGTTGCTCATTGAAGAGAGTGGGTAGCACAGCCAGGATTCAATTAGGGATCTGATGATGCTAAGATTCACGGTATCCAGTGGGTTTCAGATTAACTAAAACACCTCTGGTTCATGACAATAAAATTTCATCATCTGAATATGTGAAATGTTTACCTTTCAGTTCTTTTGATTAAAGTACAAAGGCCAAGAGTATGTTCAACTTCTCCAAAGAGAATCAGTTTCTTAAGTTACAGATTTTTTTTAAACTGGCTAAAATACATCATGATGTTCTGATCTGTCAAGTTACCAATCCCACTGACTGTGTGACTCTTGGGGCAAGGTTAATTGCCCTGTATAATCATCACCAAATAGAAGGCTTTTTATTAGGATATAGAGCTTAGCTCATAACAGATTTCTGTATATGGATTAAAAAGCTAACAAAAAAATCGAAGAGAGCTGTAAACAATATCATGTCAGTCTCGATTCATTTCTCCTCAATGTAATAAAAAATATTAGAAGTAGAAGGGTAGCAAAATATAAAGTATACCTGCAATTTATATAAATTACTAGCCTGAAAATTCAAGCCTTGCCATTTATCAAAAAGAAAAGTGCATAAATTATAGCTGAGATGTCTGGTAAGCCAATAGCTCTCTGTAATTGGAAATGATGAAAAGCAATAAAAAAATTCTCCTTTTTTAAACAAGATTGACCATTTTCTGGATCCAAATTGAAGTAGACTATGTGTAAATTAGACACAAATTTATGGATTTCACTTTAATGTACCACAAAATATCTAATAGTTTGCAAGCTAGAGATTAAAGTCAATAGATGACTGAAGGGTTAAAGTACTCCTTGTTATTTTCTTAGTAAGGGATGCAAATCACAATGATTGATATGGCTTTGGCAATTGCTATTGATTATAAAGAAAGCCCAAGCAAATGTTTGCCAGATCTTTGTAGATACAGGTTTAAGCTCTCAACTATAAAACCCAATATTTGTCAATAAATCTAGGGTTTTTAAGCACAATAAGAGTAATTTTATTTAATAGGAAAAGCATTAGAGTAGGAGACTGGAGACACTGGTTAAAATTTATCTAGTATGCAACCAAAAATATGTCAAGCTCTCTGGGCTTTGATTTTTTTTATTATTAAAATTTTAAAAGTAGGCTTTAAAAAATTCTTAAATTTCCAAATATTTCCACCTTCATGTTCAACTATTTGTGATAGTTGTTTTTTCCTCTCCCAGGATCACAGAATTCTGAAATATCTCTCCCT